ACTACCCTGACTTAATTCCTCTTGGAACTAGAGCTTTTAGAAAACCTTCCCTCTAGATTTAAAAATGGCCAGTGATGAAATATCCACCACCCCCATTGGCAGGTGTAACAAAGTGGGGGATTTTCTTGTTTTTCCTTGTTTTTTCAATGGTTTGCATGCAGAGAGAGTGGGACTCAGTGTCCCTGGGTGTTACTGGTTTAACAAGGTGAGGGGAGAGGGAGTTTGTTGTTACAGAGGACCAGCGAGGGAATTTGGGACCCCAGCCGATGGCCTGGAGGATGGACACCCCAGCGACTGGTGACCTGACGACCCGGAGACCCAGCTCAGGAGTTGCATCTGGTTCTGGCCAGTGGGAGGACAATGAGCTCTGGGGAGAGGACCCCGGTGACCGGACCAGCCGGTTCCAGCCAGAGGGAGCCAGAGGACAGAAGCGAGGAGATGAGGCCCAGGCGTCCCGGTTTACAACCCTGTTTACCTGGCGAGAAGACAATGGACAGAGGCAGGGCTTGGGGCTGGTGATATCAGATGCCCAGCTGGGAAGCAGGGGGGCTCTGGACTGGAGAGGGGGAGCAGGCAGAGCCCACCTGGATGCAGAGAGACTGGGATGTGCTGGGCTGAGGGAGGCCAGGCCTGAGGCCCTGAGAGTTTCCTGTGTTGTGTTCAATGCTCAATAAACCCTCCTGTTTTATGCTGGCTGAGAGTCACTCCGGTCTAGAGAACAGGGTTGCATCAACCCCTTCGGGGGGTGGAGGCCCCGGGGGGTCCAGAGCGAGTGGACTCCCTGAGGGGGCCCACGGCAGAGACAGACATGCTAAGGCTCAGAGAGGTGTGGCTCCAGGAGGTGGAGGGGCCTGGCCCCGGGAGAGAGTGGACCCCCGAGAAGGGCTGTCGCACTGAAAGGGGCACCCCCCCATGGACCGCACGGGGCCAAGATCTGTGAGTCCGTGACAACGTGGTGTCAGCAGTGGGATGTTTCGCGGATGCACCCTGTAGACGTTGGCTGTGGGCGCAGGCGCTGTGCAGTGCGTGGCTGCCCGCGGTAGAACGAGGGTATTGAACGGAACCAGCCTGGAAATGGCCTAGAACCAGCTCCGTAAGAGCGACCTGGCCCGTCTGTGCAGGGAGAGGGGGCTGAGCGTGGGGAGGCTCACTAAGGAGCGGCTGATTGCTCAGCTGGTAGAGAATGACCCGTCTGAGGCGCAGGCTCCAGACCCCAAGGGGGCTCCCGGGGTGCCCGGAGAGCCGGGGAGTAGCCGGGGGGGGGGCAGTCTGTGTAGCAACTGGGAGTGTGTCAGACCCGACTCCCCAGTCAGTACAGGGAGACCCCAGTTGGGTTCCTCTCTAGAGGAGTTGCGAAAACTGGAGCTGGAGCTGAAAGCGAAGGAGCTGGGCCAAGAGGGCCTGCCGGGGGGTAAGTGGAGAAGGGCCCCGAGATGCCGGTGTTGGGGGGAGTCTAGACACCAAACTGCTGCCCCAGTTCAAGGGGGGGCGGATATTGATGCCGACCTCACAGCCTTTGAGAAGCCTTGTGATCTGAACCAGATTGACCCCGCAGACTGGGTTCGCTGTCTGACCCCCCCCTGCTGAGTCCCAAGGCCATAGAAGCATTCAGCCAAATGGATGGTGTTGAGACGGGGGACTACGACCTGTTCAAACAGGCTTTGTTGCGGCAGTTTGAACTGACCCCCGAGGCGTACAAGAAACAATTCCAGGGTGTGTGCAAGGCCTCAGGTGTCACCTACAAGGAGGTTGCCAACCTGCTGGAGGAATATCTCCGTAAGTGGGGGAAGGGCACAGGGGCCACTACCGCAGAGGATGTGTATAACCTGGTAGGGTTGGAGCAGCTGTATGACATCTGCCCTCCGGACCTTAAGATGTGGCTAGTGGACCGGAAGGTCAAAGATCTGCGCAGTGCAGGGGCACTGGCAGATGAGTTTGTTGACAGAAGATCGGGGGCAGGAGGGAGACCCACAGTGGGGACTCAGAAGGGGAGTCACCCAGAGCCCTCTCAAAGGTGGGAC